TTGAAGGTGCTCTAATAAATCTTTTTTGAGTTTTTTTGCTTTTGCTTAGTCCTATAGAACAGTGAGGTTAAAGGTGGAAAATACATGTTTCAAAAGTTTTCAAAAGAAAAAAATCAAATTTTAATTCTTCTGCATTGAACGTGAAAGTGTTTTTTGGTTATCATTTCAAAATCCAAAACATTATATGTCATTTGTCAAAGAGGAATCTTATTTTTTTTATCTTACGTATATCGCAGTACAGGAATGGATTAGTTTTGATTCTTTTTAATGCTTTAAGTGTCTAGAACCCAGAAAAACAAGAACTGCGAATCGTTTTTTAAAGTTTCCTTACTTTAATCCTTCATATTCTGTATTCTTCTTACCTGTATAATCCTGAAACAACTTTTAACGAAAGAGAAACAAATACTGTCTAATTTCGTGCTTTGCTTACCAGATGTTTAGTCGTTCATGTCTTTTCAAGCATTGACACGCTCGATTTGGTGGCGGTTTACAAATCACTCTTTCCACTGCCAACACACAACCGAAATATTTAGTTTAGTATTTAAGCTGTTTACTTAAAAACTGCAACTCAAAATCAAAGTCGTATTTGTAAGTACGTTTACTTTTTTTTTTTTTTGCTAGTTTCTAGATGTTTAGTATTTATCATCTGTTTCCTCTTTATTGTTACTTAAAAGTCCATTAATGACGCACTAAAGTTTTCTTAAAAGCAAAATTGCCACGTTTAAAACAGGGCATTATTAAACTTTTTAAAATAACATAAGAAACTGCCGATATCATGGGGGGACCTCAAATAATTTTTATTTTTGAAAATATTTTTGTGAAAATGACAGATTTGAAGGACCAAATAGGTCGTATTTCTGACGGTTCCTTTACTTTTGCAGATTTGTTTCAGACTGTCATTTCGGAACTAGGCACCGTTTTAATGCAGAAAATGATTTCAAGAATGACATTTTAAACATGTCGATTACAGTGTTTCGTAGGCTTTTTTTGTTGGCTATCTATTCAGAAATATTTTCTTTATGCTTGCTTTTGTTTAGCTTCATAATTTTTTATTGTTACAGCATTTTGAAGAAAAAATTCTCAGAACTTTCGCTGATACGTGCTGATTCCTTCGTCAGCAGCGATAGGATTCTGCATGTAAAACTGATTTCTTTTACTGCTGTTTTCATCCTTTAGGTCTTAAATTTGCTATATCTGTTCATATTTTATCAACCTTCATCTGTTAATTTGATTAACACTTTCCCCTTAGTACTTCAAATTGTGTTTAAACAGCTGCCATAATAGCAGATAGCTTTAGTATTAGAAAAGGATTCTTGATTACAATTTTATAAAATATATATCTTTGAATCAAAATGGTCGTTTTCAAAAAAGTTTTAGCTTTTCATTCTCATTAAAAACAAAAATATATTTGCTATGCATGCTCAAGTGTTTTTTATCTTTTTGATTATCAACCACTGTTTTAGATTTCGATCCAAAGACGGTGAACTTGAAACGTTTAACTCTTTGTTTTTTTGGGCTCTTATGAACTAATTGGTTTCTGTGTGGATCAATCAGAAATACTTCTGTCATTTGCGCCATATAGTTTAGGTTAAAAAACACGTAATTATTGCACAAGTGTCAAAGAAGACAAATACCTTTTTAACCCGTCATTGAGTCTTCAGTTTTATTGCATCCAGTTCTACCCTGTTCCCATATCAGTGTTATCAGTGGAAACAAAGGAATCTCTTAAGCAACGCTTTTGATGCTTCTTCGGACTTTTCTCCCTATGCAACTATATGCTGCTTTGTGGCTTTCTTCTGAGCCTTGCAAAGAGTTTCCTTCTTAGATGGTTCTCTGAGTTTTGGTGAAACAGTTGGTTGCATTCGTTGTTCTAGATAGTTATTCCTTAATTCGGATTATTTAGATTATTATGTAACGTCATATTCCTATTCTTCATTGCAGGAATTTGCTATAGTCCCCAACTACTGTAAGAGAAAAAAATTTTTTTTTTAGGAAAACAGTACTGGGGAACGGTTAGTTCAATTCTTTTCTAAAATTTTGCAACTCCGTAAGGAACGACTTGTTGTTTTGGATCGCTGTATGAAAAACTTTTATGTAGTTAGCACTCTCATCTATTCGGTGTGTACTGCAGACTTTGCCGAAATATTATCAAAACTTGGTTAATCTCGATTTTTTTGAAGCAGTTCAACCATTCCATAGTTTTCTTTTCAAATAACGACATGTACCGAAATTTCATAGTCGATAACAAGCAACCTTTTAGTAAAGATATGATTCTATAAAATTAGAAAGACAGCGAAATTTTGGAAGAATAGAAGTATTTATAGGTTATATTCAAAAGATATTCAACTCAAAATCCTTTTTAAATATAGAGATAATTATTTATTTTGCAATCCTTCTTATCTGTTTTTAAACTGAGGTTAAGTGATAATTGTGGAAGTTCTAACAATTGGAAACTCCATATTGAAAGTAAAGAAAAAACTAAAGTATATAACAGTTCCTTTGTAACCGCAAACTGCGAAAAAAAAAGAATGATTGTTAAAGTGGATCGTAATTTGA